TATTCCTGTTGGTCCAGTGTCTGTGACCCTCTTCCCTCTTTCTGTCTGTCTTTCTCTCTTGATCCTTTTTCCTCCCTTTAATCCTTTGTCTTTCTCAAACAGTCCTTCTCTCACCATGTCTCTGTCGCTGTCTGTTATTTCTTTCTTTGTTCTTCTCCTTTCCCTTTTTCTGTTTTTCTTTTGCTTTAGATTTTCGATGCCTTTCCTTCTCCCTTTGTCATTTTTTTTCTTGTTTTCCCTCCTTTCTGTCTTTCTTGTCCTTTCTGAAGACATTGGCTTCTGGTGCACACAGCAAAGTACAAGCATTCAACCGTCACTGAATTTCATTTAAATTTCTTTTTTTTTTTTCTCATGTAATTCTTACTCTGTTTCGTATTGTAGTTTTATTCTCTTTCTTTCTTTCTTTCTTTCTTTCTTTCTTTCTTTGAACTTTGCGTGAAAAGGCAAACTGCCAGGCAAAGCGTTGAATGATCACACTGTCAATTTGTAGTTTCTTTACTTCTTTTTTCTTTCAGTCTCTTCAGTTTTCTTCACGATCGTGTGGCCATTTCTGCCCAAGCTGCTTAAAAAACTACATCAGCCATCAACAAAGTTGATTCTGTTTTGTCTCAGTATGGACCATGAATCCAATCACCAGAATAAATTTTGTCTTTGCACGTTTCTACAAACCATGGATATGTTACATTTGTATATTTTTATACATAGCATATCTGTAGCAGAACTTTGTTGAAACGTTATGCTGTGCCAGCACTGTGGTTAACTTATTTTTAGGTATTTAGGTTTAGATACAAACATTTGGTTAGAGGTAGGAAATATAGTTAAAAAGCAGTTAATTATTTTCATTAATATATCCACTTTCTGTCACTACAAACATGTACAAACATGTTCCCAACTCTTGTTAAAAAATAGTCACTTTTGTCACTTAAAAAAACATGGCTATTATTGCCTAAAACTTAACCGCTACAAACACAGCTAGCAACTTCCCAAATGCTTGTGGAAAAACACCCACTTTTTGTCACTACAAACATGGCTAGACATGTCCCGAACTCTTGTTAAAATATCCGCATTTGTTCCTAAAATCATGGCTAGAAATATCACAAATTCTCATTAAAAAATACCCACTTTTGTCGCTTCAAACACGACTAGAAATGTCCCAAACTCATATCAAAAGTGCCTGCTTTTGTTGCTACAAAAATGATCAGAATTATCCTGAAATCTCATAAAAGAAACCTCTCTATTGTTGCTACAGACATGGCTAGAAATGACCCAAACTCATTAAAAAACACGCGCTTTTGTCGCCACAAACACTGCAAGAAATGTCCCAAACTCTTGTTGAAAAATACATGCTTGTGTGGCCACAAACATGGCTAAAAATGTCCTGAATGCTCATTAAATATTGCCTACTTTGTGTTGCTACAGTGACAGCTAGAAATGTCCCAGTCTCTTGTAAAATATATTTGCTTTTGCGACTATAAACACGGTAAGAAATGTCCCAAACCTGTGTTTAAAAAATAGACACTTTTGTTGCTACAAACACAGCTGGAAATGTTCCAAACTCTTGCTAGAAATATCTTCTAATACAGCGGTCTGCTGCTTCGTAGCCATCTTGCCGTCAACCATCCCCTCATCCTCCTGATGAGAAACTCAGCTCATGTACATGTAATCTGAACTTTGTGTCGTTTGAAACATTCAAGTGTAACATATCTATGGTTTGCAGAAACATTTCATCCTGGTGACTGGGCTGGTTCCATGATAGGGTTGTTGCGTAACTGCAGTGATTGGTTGTTTGTCTCTTTGTTCTATTTTGAGGCAGTTCATTCAGTCTGCAGTGTCGGACGCAGGTGTATGTTCCATCCTGTCTGTCTTTGTTTCTTCCCTCTCCACCGTTGACTGCCTCCATCAGGCAGGTTTGGGAACTAATCAGCAGACTGAGTAGGTGTGTGTGTGTGTGTGTGTGTGTGTGTGTGTGTGTGTGTGTGTGTGTGTGTGTGTCTGGGACAGGTCTGGGAGACAGGGAAAAAAAGAGAGAGTGAGGATGATAAGGAAGAGAGCAAGAGGGAGAGAGTTGGGATAAAGGTGTGTGATAGAATTGGAAGATCAAAGCCTTCTGTCACAGCGTGACTGAGCCCAGGGGCGTTATGGGTAAGACAGGGCGCACACACACTCGTACGGACACAGACACAGACACACTCACACACACTCACACTCTCTGCTGGTATTTGACTCTGAGTGTGATTGATACTGGGCTAGATTTGGAGAATCACTGTCATTCGTCTCTCCGCAGATCAAACAGCCACATAATCTCCCATAAAGGAAAGAGAGATGGAGGGAATAAAAAAGGGACAGAGGAGGAGAGACTGAAGGAGGGGGGGAGAGGGAGAGAGGTGACAAAGCCCTCTCATCTGTGAAGTGTTTTCTTGTTTTCCATAAAAGAAGACCCGCCACCTTAAAAACACATCCATCATTCAGCTCCATTAAACTGCTTCTTGGGCACATCAGAGAGATATCCAGTATCTAAAAGAAAAGTGTAAATGCGAGCATTTAGACCCCATTTACACCTGGCATAAACATGCAATCTGTGTCTGGGTATCTTATCTCTGAGTGGGGGGAAATGCAAATAAATGCAATTTGTAAAATGCACTCAGAGCTTATCGCAATCAGGATGCCTCCAGATCGGCCAGACCACATCTGACACTGGTCTGGATCACGTTGTGATCAAATCTCGGTCAGGTCTAAATAATATCTGTACAGTTTGGTCACATTATTAAGTAAAGAAAAACATGCCTGGCAAGTTGAAAGGTCATTGAACTCCACCTCTTCCTGCTGTCTCAAACAAGTCTGACAAAAACCTGCCGATGATCACCTGTTCGTCTACAGAAGCCCATACAGCAGAATCGCTTCCCTTGACCTGATGCACCAGTTTGTATATAAAAATATATCTTAAGATCCAGTGCAATCAGAATACTTATTGATTGCATTTGTAAATGATCCATATAGTATGTTAGTAACTTGTAACATGGGTCTTGGAGATGGATTGCGGATAGCTGAACCTCCGGAGGGGGAGCACCAGTAAATTTCCCATCCACCACCTCAGTGTCCTGAGGTTTGGTTACTCCTCTGTTTCAGCCCCAAGTTCATGAAGGGAAAATGGGGAGTAACAAAAGACCAGATACAGCAGTGGTTCTCAACCAGAGGTCCTTGAGGGAGTTCCAGGTACTCCCTAGAAAAATGTGGAATAGTTTATTTTTTACTATTTTATTCACTTTAGATGTGAGCCCAATGTGAGTGACTATTCCAATCATAGCTTTCACTTTCTCCACGGTTATCTCCTCAACTCCTCAATCAAAGGTAAAGGGTTTCCTTCAAATTCGGCACAAACATCCACTTGGACCCAACTATTATTAAGTGCTTAGATTTGGTGGTCAAACTCAGAGTCACTGTGACCTTGCGTCAGTCTCATTCTCCTGAATGGGATATTTAGATAACACTGTAATGGCATTATTTCAAATTTGGCACAAATGTCCACTTTGACTCAACCATGAATTGACTAGATGTTGGTGGTCAAAGGTCAGGGTCACTGTGACCTTGCGATAGTCTCATTCTCCTGAAAGTGATATCTTAAGAACAACTTCAGGGAATTTCTTCAAATTTGGCCCAAACGTCCACTTGGACTCAAAGATAAACTGACAAGATTTGGTGGTCAAAGGTCACTGTGACCTCACAAAACATGTTTTTGGCCATAACTCAAGTATTTGTTGACTAATTATGACGACATTTCACACAAATGTGAATTTCCTGGCCCTTAGGACACAAGTATACTGGCTGCGTGGCCAAACGTACGCGTGCCTAGTGTGCTGCGCCTGTGTGTATACTTGCTGCGGCACGGTCGTTCGTCGATGCAGCCAAAACGTCTGATGCTGGTGGTCTCCGCTAGGGGCAGACCACTGCACTTAGACACTTTTGTCGCGAAAAGCAAAGAAGGCAGTGACACTGTATTTCCGGATGTAGTAGGCTATACAAAAACATGGATACTCTCGATGAAGAGATTATAATTTTATGTCTTTTAAGATCTCAGCAGAGGAAAAGGCGTCATCTCCGCCGCCATTGGAGACGGTATGTGCGGCCCGACCTCACGTTCATGATCTCTAGAGATCTACTTCGCACGAGCGCCTCTAGTGTTCATGTCAATATTGCATCTCGCGAACGCGTCACGTTACCTCGCGTCAAAGTGAGCGGCCTACACACCAAACGAATATAAATACGCATGGCAGCCATGATGCGTACGCACATGCGTTGTCTGCAGCAAGTATACTTCTCGCATTACTCAACGGCATATCTCAGGAACAGAACGGGAGACATTTGGTCAGACACTGAAATGGTGACACTTATCTTGAGCATCCACCTTGAAACTGATTGTATAGATATTTTGATATTCCGTGCTGCTGGGTTGAAGATGTGTGTGAAGCATCCATGTTTTAGAATATGTGGCTTCTTTGCTGCAACACCCGTGTTTGGAGCATTGTCAACTGTCATGGTCTGAAGAAGCCTACAACGGTGAGGCAGTATTTCTAGTTTCTCCCGTCATGCTCTCAGATATGTCCTTTTGCTTGTGAGATTGTTTTGACTCGAAAGCCCTCCTTTTTCTGAACGAAGCCAGGTAAAGCACTGCAAGGTGTGATATACATTTGATTGACAGAACAAGCGTTCTGGATGTGAATGCTTAGGATTCAATAGCACAAACTACGTAGGAAAATCGCCTTGAACCATTTGGAAATGCTCTCTGAATTATCCATGCACTGCGCTGTCTATAATTTAGCCTCATCTATGAAAATTTCAAGGAAGGAAAACACCCCTCATTATGTTGCCGATTACTGTACGTAAGGAGGGATGTGATGGTTTCTGCAGTTTCGACATATATTGAGTGTAACGTCTGATTGTGTACATGTGTGTGTCTGTGTGCAGCGTTTAATACATTTTGTCCTTCTCCTCTGTCTCTACAGATGCACCACCCTATTCAGATGAAACCTGCAGACAGTGAGAAATCTAACGGTGAGTGGCCACCCACACACACACACACACACACACACACACACACACACGATGACAGACGCATCAATATCACACACGCATGCATCAATAGCCTTTTTGAATTTGCTTGGTAATAGCGGTCTCAGCTGTGTGTTCGCTCGCTGCTTGACTGGCAGACGGGACGAGGGACTGGGGGAAAAGATTGAGCGAGAGACGTAGAGAGGAACAGAGGGACGGATAGAGGGAGGGGGGGAAATGCTGATATATATAAATATATTCTTATATGTGTGATGAATTATTAAGGTGCTTCAGAAGGAGGTCAGTGAAAGTTGAATCGTTTTGGCCTCGTGGTGAACCAGCCTCTCTCCCCTGTGGCTGCTCCGCTCATACAAACATGCTGTACACACTCTCCTCGTGCTGCACACACACACACACACACACACAATCGCTTTTATGCATATAGCTCTCACAAGCACTGTCACACACCTCGTCCTCAGATCACCCCATTTCCAAACTACATATTGCAGATCCAGTTCTGAATTGATTTCCTATACTGAGCCTCTTGCTCCGTTCCTTCTCATTCTAACAAGGAAGCTGTTGGACACTATACACCACAGGAAGTATCAGAGTGTCTTTAAAGGATAAGGCTAGTATTAATCTATATTTCTCTTAAAGGGACAGTTCAGCCAAACTATAGTGCTATTTATCAGTCTAGATTGTCTTGGCGTGAGTTGCGGTGTGTTTCAGATACCGGTCATAGAGATGCTTTCTGTCTCTCTGGTATAATGGAACTAGATGACACTCGGCTTGTGGTGCTCAAAGTGCCAAAAAAAAAAATAAACATTTAGCAATATCTCTTTCCAGAAGTCATGACCCAGTTACTCAAGATAATCCACAGACCTTGTTGCTGGGTTCAGACGGGGTCTTTAAAGTGCTTGAATTTTGAGGGGAAAAGTCAAGTACTGAAATACCTTGAAAATAGTCCCCTTTTTTGAACAGGAACTGTGGCGGAACCAGGAGTCCTATGATGACATGGCCAAACTTAACATGACTTGACTAAATAAGCCGGCTTTCCACCATGATGTTGACCTCTGTCTTCAGCGGTGCGCTGATGTAATAGCCGAAAAAGTGGCATTGTTTTCTTGTGCTACTTTCAAATGCTTCAAATTGCATTTTTACGCAAAGCCAAACAACAGTGGCGCCGTGCCTCACTAGTGTGTCATTTTAGACAGCATGCTGGCTTTACGGAAGCACAAGAGGCATGACAGGTGTGACTTTCAACACAATAGTGTTGTCCTCTAGTGGGACTTTTTTATTATAGTGAATATGTAGTGTAGATGACTTGGTGTAAACTCTTCTCATGTAAATATATGGTGTACGTGACCTGAGGTAAACTTATTATCCTGACATGACTTCAGCTAAATGAACTGGCATGATTCTGGCCAAATTTGGTTACGTGAGGAGAAGCAATTTTTCTTGGAGCTGGCTGTCTGAATAACAGGGAAACAGTAGCTTAAGTGACGGGAAACAGCTTTTAATGTGTATTGGAAAGCTGTAGGTGTGTCAGCTGATACTGCTTGTTTGTCAGACAACACAAATTGTCACGATGATGATGATGATGATGATGCTTTTTCACGAGTAAGCCCTCAAATGTCCAATCCTGTGTTTTGAGTTTCTTTCTTCTACAACATTATATAGCCGCCGATCTCGTCCTCAGCCTGAGGGGTAAGAAGCTCCCGCACCTCATTGTTTTCCCAATTCGCAGACATTTTAATGCTGTTCTTCTTCTTTGAGTTAGCTGCTAACTGCTAGTTGCTTTTTAAATCTCCCTCGTCAAAATTTCACACCCGTGCTGACCATGATCAAATCCTGCCAGCTGTCACATTTATACAAAGGTCGTTTTGGCACAAACACTACCTCAGATGCCGCCATTCCATGATTGTACCTTTTATACAGAGCGGTGAGGCGGCATTACAGTGTGGAATTCCTGCCTTGGAGAGGCGGTGTATACAGGGAATATTATTACGCTGACACTCTCTCTAGAACTTTCTCTGGATTAGAAGCGTGAGAAAGGGTTGCACAATAGTGTCATTATATCAGCACTGTAGCTCTCATGCTGTTCAAATATTTTGTTGAAGACTTTATACAAGTATTCCTACAAAGTGTCTGATAATTAACCCTAGACTGAAAAGAGTCACACAGATCACATCAACGTCAACACGTCAGGTTGGGGTCAGCTGATGGGGCAGCTAATGTTAAACTTAGGGACAGTTTTGTGATAGTGGGAGCTACTTAATAGTGCAGACAGGCTGAAGCCTGATTTATGGTCCTGCGTTAAATCAACAACGTCGCTACGTCGTAGGGTACGTGGCTACACAGGAGGCTCGCCGTAGCCCCCAGCGTAGCCTGACGTGCACCTCCCCAAAAATGTAACTACACGTCGAGGCGACGCAGACCCAGCGCAGACTGAGAGGGCTGTGATTGGTTTGCTTGGTAGCAACGCATTTCCGGTTCCATATTTCCAGATTGCGCCATCCCCGCCATCTTTAAACATCTTCTTTTGCAATGTAGATGTTGCAGTATTAAGGCCCATTTATGCTCAATGTTCAATACGGATACGGATACGGACGGAGCTGTCTGTCCGTGCTCCATGTTCATTTCTCTGTGACCAGAAAAGCCGGAAGCTAAACAAAGAATCAACTAGAGACGACGATAACCATTCAGGAAAGGAACGCAGCCTCCTACTGCTCTGGTGGTGAATTGCACTGCGATGAAATGGAGTGACGGAGAAGTTCGAAGGGTTCACGACGGCGTCACGGCAACGCCGTAGGTACGCCGTAGGTACGTCGTAGGTACGCCGCAGGACCATAAATCAGGCTTGAGAAAGAACAGAAATTTGCCAGTACCATTTTGGAGCTGCTTTTTAGATCCATAAAATATCTTGGACGTGAGGGACTTCCACTGTGGGGGCATCACCATCAGGATAGAGTTTATGGCGGGACATAATGTTATGTGTTGCCCAAGGAACGTGAGTGGCTTGAGTGAACAGAAACCTCAATGTCCAGCACCATTCAAAAGGACATATTGGAATATTTTGGTGCATGCAGTCCAGAGACAAATTTTGTCTCAGGCTAGGGAGCGCACATTCTAAGAGAACAACCAATGTAGACACATCCGAGCAGTTTTCCTGTAGCTCTTCAATCCATTTGTAAGAATAAATATTTGAATTGTAAAATTTTTACCTTGTTATGTAGCACGTACGTTGAAACTTTACGTTTCAACATTGCAGTGGTTAACGTGGTTAGGTTTAGGCACAAAAACTGCTTTGTTATGGTAAGGAAAACGATCATGTTTTGGCTGATTAATAGCACTACAGGTCATTATGGGGGGATTTTGAGTTTGATTTTGGGTGGGCTTTCCTGTTCTGTCTGAGGCAGTCAGTTCCAAACCCATTGGTTCCTACTGAGGACATATATCGATAGTTTTCATCATTTTTAGCAAACAGTCCTCTAATGTTACTCGAGCATCTTTCTCCATCTGTACAGTGAAATGAAATGCGCGAGCAGGGCATGATTTAAGGAGGGATTTTCATGTGATTGCTTTGAAGTGGCCATGACCTTTCAATCACTGAGTCTCTGGAGAACCACAGGGATCTGAAGCTGTACGCCACCCATCCACCCACACCTCTCTTACCTGTATCGTTATATGACGAGAGGGAGAAATGAATAACAAGCAAGGTTTTCTCCAGCATACATTAAAACAAACACCTCCAACCCCCTGACTTCACGGCTGCCCACAGTGCTGCGACCCACGAGCTGAAGAAGTCAAGTGTAGTTTTATATGATGGGAGGCTTTGTATCTGATTGGATGGAATTTATATATCCACCCTCGAGTGCAGGATGACTCAGTACAAATGTTGTAATGTTTCACAGGAAGTGGAAGGAGAGCAATTCTAACATATAAATAAGATGAAAGTGTGTTTTTAAGGTTTATTTTACACACACAAAGAAAAGCAGTTAATGCAGGGACACAGGAAAAATAAGTTCTCTCATTTTATTGTGTCTTTAAAGACACTTTTACAAGGTCTGAATGCGTTGCTCCATTATTCCAATCTGTTTTTAATTGGTTTCATTTTGATGCAGCAATAACACTCAGTGTGATTTGTCAGCTTCATTATGTTCAGTGATATTTAGTCGAGGTGCGTTTGGAAACGAACAGAAAATGTTATTATAGCGGCAGCTTAGCAGGTGAGGCCAGAAAACGTTGTGGGCATGGTGCTTCTGATTTGGTATTGATTGAAGGTTCTGCTCAGTTGCTATATTTTGAGGGTCAATTCACCCAAATTGTAAAAACACAAAGTATTTTTTTTTTGCTCTGCACAGTTTAGGTTTCTAGTTTAGGTTTTATCTGCTGTTGAGGCGTGGTGAGATTATGAAATGACAGGCCCCTGGACATCGATGTTTTAAAAGCTTACCCATCCTTGGTTACCAGTTTTTTAATCTCTTTCAGCAGATTGCTGTTGATACTGAACCAAATCAAACCTGCATGTTCAGGGTCCTGGTGACCTTGTGGGCCCACTTGGTGTTTCATTCATGGGAAGATATTTCAAAATGTTTGCTGCTGAGCCTCCTGCAGCCACTCAAATGTTCTGCAGATTAATTAGTTTGTTTGTGATGTCCCAAAAAAAAGAAGAAAAAAGTATATATATAAAAGCACAACAGCAACATGTTTCCCCCCAGAGGCAAATTCCTACTTATAATCCCAAGACCTCACAGCTGATAGTTTTTTACCTCAGGTGGAAAAATATTCCCCCAGTTAAAATTGTTGTCAGTGATGTCTGCAGATCATTCAGCGTGACAGAGCTCAAGAAATCTCTGCAGCAGATATCTGAAAATTTTGGCAAATAAAACTGAAATTATTTGCATGGCTAAGTGAGAAAATGTGTGTTTTTGCAATTTGGGTGAACTGACCCTTAAAGCTGAGTAATTGAGCAGAATATGAAAACGGATAAAACCATGATT